GCTATCAAACCATCTTAACAACTGCAAAACAAATAAGTGCTTGAAGGTAGATCTACATCTGACTAAGCAATGTTTTCAAGCTTTAGATTTTTCTATGGCTGAATTCATGTACCATTGATTGGTTGACTATGTGCCATCGTCAGTACTGAATTGTAGTAAGCACAAATATTTGTTGTTAGTTGTGAAGTCGTGTCTGACCCATTGCCCAACCCATGGGCAATGTTCCTCCAGGCCTTCCTGTCCTCTACCATCCTCTGGAGACCATTTAAGCTCACGCCTACTGCTTCAGTGACTCCATCCAGCCACCTTATTCTCTGTTGTNATATGCTGACTCTGTAAACCGCTTAGAGAGGGCTGAAAGCCCTATGAAGCGGTATATAAGTCTAACTGCTATTGCTATATAATTTCCTGCAATTGCACTATCGGATAGCTTTAACAATATTATCTGCCTAGTTTGCCTGTCAACTTCCATTAAATACCCCAAATGTATTATAGGTAGACCTCGACTTACAACAGTTCATTTAGTGACTGTTCAGTTACAATGGCACTGAAAAAAAATGACCTATGACCATTTTTCACACTTACAACCATTGCAGCATCCCCATGGTCACATGATCAAGATTCAGGTGCTGGGCTACTGACTCATATTTATGACTGTTTGCAGTGTCCCGGGGTCATGTGATCACCTTTTGCAATCTTATAAGCAAAGTCAATGGAAAAGCCACATTCACTTAACAATCGTGTTACTAACTTAATAACTGCAGGGATTCACATAACAACTGTGGGAAGAAAAGTCGTAAAATGGGGCAAAATTCACTTAACTAATGTTTCACTAAGCAACAGAAATTTGGGGCTCAATTGTGGTCATAGGTCGAGGACTACCTGTGTTAGGAAATACTCTAGTCTTTTATGGTGCATAAAAAGTTTGCTTCCTCTTAATAATAGGCTGTTCCTGGGGGTTTTGTTTTCTTTTTATTGCAAACACTCCCAAACTCACAGCATTTTCATTTTCCTTACAGAAGAGGATGGAAAATGAATATAATAATTCCCTCTGAAGAGAAGCCAAATGTAAACATACTGTTGAATACATTGTCTTAAATCCATACAAAGAGTGACAACTTTTTTGCTGTTTGCACCAGGAGATCATGCAATTCTAAACATCATTGCAGGTACTCTAAAAGGCTCCTGAATGGTATGTACTATAAAAAGGTTAAAAAGCCAGAGGGCACAACATGTATGCTTGCTACTTGTCTTAAAGAAGGCAAGATGCCACGTTTAAAGCAAACAAAACTCCCTGATAATTCAGTCAAATGATAAGCTCGGTGAGTGCAAAATAGGAAACAGGAAATGCTACGAGGGTCAAACTGATTAAGATTCCTGGGGCAAGTGGTGTCCTAGCCATGGAAATCTTGAGTAACAGAAAGGTCTTGAATCTCCAGAACAAGGTTAGAGCTGAGGTTGATCCTGACTTATGGTGGAGTCAGGTCTTCTTATGATATCCACGGCCAAAGAGGAAGAAGCATAATTAGTAAGAGTGAGGGTGATTATTTTCTTGTGGCGATAATTTTTTTTAAAAAGGATTTTCCAAATAGTAAAGCCTGATTTCTATTGGTTTACTGAATGCAGCAGGTTCTAATTCTTGTAAATTCTTATAAGAATGAGTCATGATTCTTATAAGCCACAAGTATTTCTTAAGCCAGCTGGTGAATTCTGGTGGTTGAAGTCTGCACCTCTTAAAACTTGCCAGGGTTGAGAAGCACTGAACAGTGTGTCTCTTTCATCTGAATAGGTGCCAAGATATAGAAGCTAAAGGCAAGAAAAATGAGGAAACAATTTCCATTCTCACTTGTATCATATCAAGACCTGAAAATTGTATTTTCTTTTCTTCTACCTAGATATCAGGAACTTGGACCATGAAAAGTCATTTAAAAATCTCTTCCTACTTTAACCCAGGAGAATATTCACCCTATTTGCTCTGCAATCTTACTTGATGTGAAACGCCTGGGTGTTATGTATTTCTGCCTTTCCAATCTCCCATTATGTTCAGCATATGGCATGTGTAGTAATTATCATCAGCTTTTCAAAAGTGTGATTTGAGCTCTTCTAAAGACATTCCCTTCTTCCAGCCACATTCTGTCTCTTCAAATTGATTTTTGAGACTTTATAATATTTCTACGTTTTCTGTAGATTTTACTACGGTGAATACCATTTCTTAAAATATGATTATCAGTGCTCAAAAACCATTTCATCAAAATTCAACCCATTGCAAAGATGCATTCATCATGTGTATTACTTCCAAAATAGCTTAATTTCCTCATTTCACAGCTGTGACATAAAGAGAATTTAAACATTCATAATTATGCCTTATGGGAATAATCGTCTTTTGTTTCGTTGTTGCACTAATGGTTGGTGGAGATCAAAATGGTTTATTCCTCCTTTATTCATGGAGGAATAAAGAGGCTTCAGGTAGCCTGGTCATTTGGAAGAGCTGGAATGGAAATGAAACACTGAAGGAATGGACTTACTAAGTACTCATCCTATTTAAAGAAGTACCTGTTTCTGTGAAAGGCTCTAAATGCAACTTTTTGCCCTTGGATGTTCTCTTTGGCTTTGATAACCATTCTTAGATATCAAGGCAACATGAATGTTGGAAGTGGGCTGTTGCGATTGAGATGTTGAAAGACATTCTTCCACATTCCTGAAGAGGACTTTGATTTGGCTGAAATGTAGTAAAAGAGACATGCTACCGTCTTGCTCCTTACCTGAATTTGCCTGAACTAGAAGGGTCTGTGTTTGTAGAACAGCTGTAATCACCAAAATACAATATAAGGGCAGCTTTCTCTGGGCACGTCTATCACCACACAACCATGTTTCAAATCTGACTTTTCCTCCTCCATGGGGATTTTTGTATAGAGATCCTCACAGGAAAGGATAATAACTATTAGCCTGCATTGTACAGGATGAATTCTTCAATTCACAATATTGCTTCAAGGTCCTAAAAAGCTAATAGAGTTTTGTTTGTGGAATGAAATGAACGGCATGAATTTCTTTCATTAAGGTCAAATTTTGGTTAGAAAAGAATGAAGCTGAAAAACAGGTTTGACTGGAATCTCCCTACTGGTGACATTCAAATCAAATTCCAAAAATAATAATGCAATGTATCAAATCTCCCTTCGTGCTACTATCTGTAGAGGGGAAAAGATGCACGTTAAACTCTTTGAACAGTGGCCGTAGTCATTATCAATTTATCACAACAGCTGAGGAAAGGAATTTAACATTAAATAGGATTTTCTTTTTTTTTAATATGTGTAAACTGCATTGGCTTCCAATTTATTAGATGAGACAGAACTTCAGAGGTAGGATTTTGCCTGTCATACATTGCTGTAATGGGGTGGTGTGGTGGGATACTTGCAGAAATTTAATGTGTTGCTCTTTGAGCTGTGGAAGGTAGCAAGGTACAAAGGAGAATAGGACAACTGTGCCTTTTTAAAGGAAATCACATGATCAACTGCGGTGCAGATTCCCTCTTTTACAAAGCTATTAAAGAAACAATGTCTGTCCTCCTTTCAATCACATGGAGTAGATCAGGGAGGCCCAAGCTTGGTAATTTTAAGACTTATGGGCATTAGCTCCCAGAATTGGCTGGCTGGGGAATCGAAGTTGCCAAGCTTGGGCAAGCTGGAGTAGATATTTATGGTGGCCAGAGTTGATTGTGAGCCTAAAACAGCAATTACCATATTTACTTAGAAAACAATACCTGTGCAGTCTCCTGGAAAAAAATAATCATTTCTTTCTAGGCACTGCCTAAAACACAGCTGCTAGGATGCTGCTTTTGAACACATACAATCTAACATCAAAGTATGTAATGGAAAGAAACTCTCTATTGATTAAAGGTAAAAGGCAGCAGCCATATTCTTCTAAAAAAGTAGAAATTAAGGCTTCTTTCAAGACAAAAAGAGGTACAGTCCCTTTCAGAGGTAGGTGCTGCCAAACACCAGAAAGGAAATCCTTGTTTCAGTTAGCCAACATCTGGCTAGAAATTTCTGGGAAGCTTTTATAGCGATAGCAGCAAGGAATATCTTCTCATACTATTGCAATGCCGGAGAAGCAAAATTTGCTGGAAGCTTCCCTTCTTGACGTAAGTACAGCATTGGAACTCCATTCTCTGTCCAGCCTAGTAAATTAAGATGCCATAAAGGACAATTCAGAGGCTGGTGTTTTCTCCCCCTAACACAGTGCATTGGTAATGGAGAATTCTGCAAGCTGCAGGCCAGCACCTTTGAGAAACACGGTGAAGGATATGTGCTTATGGAATCTCAGAGCTGGTGTTAAACATGAGCCTCTTTCACGTCCCTTTTGCTTTTACACTGGGGGAGAATCACCTATTCCTATTGATTGCAAACCTGTTCAGCACTGAGTGCCCACCAGAAACCCAAAGACCAGCTGACCAGTGCACATTTGTGTGCCAGCCACCTGGTCTTCGGGTTTCCAGTGCTCCAGCGTGCACGAAGACCAGCTGGTCGGCACGCATGCACCTGCCGGAAACTAGAAGATCAGCTGGCGACGGCCGGGCATGCCCACAGAGAGGGCTCTGTGTGCCACCTCTGGCACACGTGCCATGGGTTCGCCCATCATGGACTTATTCCCTTCCTGAACAAACCAGAAACGGGACACTGGGGACAGAACCACTGAAATTGGTGCTAATCCTTCCTTTGGAGCTGGACTCTATGAGGCCCACTGTCATTGGTTGATTACAAGAACAGAAGCACCAATGCCATTCTAGTTACAAACCTCTTACAATAGTAAATAACATTGTATGTTTACCAATATTCAGGGAAGAGAGGGGGCTCTTTTGAAGTATAGGAAATAAATCCAACGATCACTGCTTTTTCCTTCTAAACTTTCCCTTGAGGGTGCAAGAAAATACTCTGTGGGAATTCTTCCCACGTATTTCCCAGGTCCTCCCGCTAAAACAAAGACGCCCAAATCAGAATCAATAGTCTGGAAATTAAAAGCATCTTTCTTTCAGATCAAATGTACTGTGTAACAGTAATATCATTAATAATGACTCTAATAAATAGATACAGGGAAGAAGGGAAAGCATTAAACACACAAAGGTCGGGCTGGCACACAGATTTACCACACACTCATCTGTTCACTTCTTAAAAAGGTACAAAAACCAATTTTTCTTTCAAGTATTAAAAAATAAGTTAATGGACATTAAAGGCTCTAAAGTGACTAAAGGGCCAGGATAGGTCTTCTGCTTCATTTCCGATGTGCAAAGGGGAAAAAAAAAAGAAAAGAAAAAGGAAAAAAAATATTCCCACAAACACAAAGAATCAAAAACCTACTTTCCAGCCCACTCTTGGAAAATTTGATGCTGGAGAACGATCCCCATGAGAACCCCTCCAAAATGCTTCTGAATGAAACCATCTTTTGATAACAAGCACCTTCCAGTGTCCAAATGTCCAACTCATCGAGTTCACAATAGAGTAGTCCAAGGTCATCAAACAACGGGAAGCAGCTTCTTTCAGTCCGGAGCACTTTGTGGCCGAAAGGAAAAAAAAGTTTGCATGCTGCATCTGCTCGGAACAATGGCAACACGTGGAGATTGCAGAGAAGGGGAGGGGGAGAGTCTGCCTCTGTTCCTGTTTTTCTGGAAGTCACAAAAAAACCACATTTCAAGTTCTTAGTGTTCCAAGTCTCCCGTCAACCTTCAGATATGGATGTTCCTCCATACCTGGACCACAGTGGCAGTTTCGGATTTCTTTGGTGAGAAGAGCATCTACACAGTGTGCTTTGTGAGTGGTTTGCTCTCCCAGAGGCTGCTACAAAGGTGACCTTTCAGAAGATCAATTTGACACTCCTTTCCTTTCGTTATTTAAATGAACAAAATCCATTAATACCACAGGTTGGGTAAATATGAAATGAACAGGTTATGGCCCACCTAAATCGGTTAAAGTTCTTTAAAAAAAAAATAATCACACAAAATATTTTCATTTTTAGTCTCTCTCGGAGATCTCACACACCCACCTACACACACACAAAGACATTGACCTCTTGCACAGGTCCTCAGGGAAGGCACGCAATCTCAGATCACGACTTCGTTCTCGGCTCGGTAGCCTCACCCAGGACTCTGAATCCTTACAAGCAACCCTCTTAAGCAGGAAGCTCCTGGCTCAAGCACTTAGCTGCTGCAAGATTCCTGAAGCAGTTCCTGCTCCAAGGTGTCTCCTCTAACCAGGCAGCTCCATCTGACTTGGCACAGGCCAAATGGACAATGCAGAATAAGCAACCAGTCATGGTGATGCGCTCAGGACCAATTCAAGTTGAAGCCTTTGGACAGCATAACCGCTTCTAAATCCTTGTCTTCCTCCTTCTCTCGGAGGCGCTGCTCTTCAAGCAGAGCCACAAGAGAATCTCTTTGCTCCACCACCTCCAGCATTTCATTCAAGATCTTCTTCTCCTCCGAGAGTTCTTCATCTGTCTTCAGCTGATCTGGATAGAGGGGAAAATAGTAAACCTGTAAAGACCAGACGTCCTAAGGATTTGGGACACCTTGTTTCTACTGAGAACAAGAAACTCCCTACCAGGCTTACCTTCCACTGCCATCCTCTCTCGAAGCTCTTGCTGTAGCCGGCTCTGCCTGTCCTCTAATTCTAACTCGCGTGCACTGAAAAGAAAGGTAGAGAATAGTTAATTATGGGTCATTTCAGCAGGAACCTCAGCTATGATTTTAACTTGAGGATGCTCAGGAAATGACACAGAGGTGGTATTCAGCAGGTTCCGATCAGTTCTGGAGAACCGGTAGTGGAAATTTTGAGTAGTTTGGAGAACCGGTAAATATCACCTCTGACTGGCCCCATCCCCATCTATTCTCTGCCTCCTGAGACTCAGCTGATCAAGAAGAAATGGGAATTTTGCAGTAACCTTTCCCTGCCACCCCTACTAAGCCATGCCACACCCACCAAGCCATGCCCGCAGAATTGGTAGTAAAAATTTTTAAATCCCACCACTGAAATGACATATTCCAATATTTTCTCTCTTTTTAAAGGATTAATAGTCAAGCAAGCTTTCAAGAATAGTGACAACCTTCAGTTTTAACATCTGTGCTAATTTTGTGGCATGACGTTATTTCCAGGAAAACTTCATGAGTGCCTGAACTCAATAATCTTTAATTAAATAAAATGTTCAATTCCCTTCCACTCATTACAAAGGAGGACTGAGCGAAGCTATTCTGTAATCTAAGGTGATCAGATAAACACACAGGTGAGATATTTCAACATCAGCACTTTTGTATTTTTCCTGAGGTACATTGATAGAAGAACAAAAGGATACTAAGATGGTGCGCCCGTTGAAAATTCTAGGTGAGGAATTCTAGTTTTATGTAGCTATATGGTTTGCATATAGTCTAGAACAGGGTTGTCAAACTCAATTTCATTGAGGGCAGCATCAAGATTGTGTTTGACCTTGGGGGCCCGGAGTGTGCATGGCCAATGTCACTTGTGTCAGGGGCCCCTGTGTTGGCCCGAGCGCTCTGCCAGCAAAAACAGGCTCCCGAGCTCCGTTGTCAGCTGTGATGGCTTCCTGCAACCCTCTGCCAGTGAAAACGGAGTTTAGGAGGGCCACACGCAGCCCTCCCGAGCTCCTATTTTGCTGGCAGAGGCACCATCGGCTGGTCCTTTGCTGTTTACAGGAGGGCCCCAAGGGCCAGATCTAAATACCCTGCAGGCCGATTCCGAACCCTGGGCCTTGAGTTTGACAACCCTGGTCTAGAAAGACAAAATAAGCACAGAAAAAAGGGGGGTAAAAAATCTATGACAGAATCTGCCAGTTAATATCTTTATTAACAAGAAGGGCATTCCAAATTTCTCTACAACCCAAACAATCCACACTGTCATATCAATCAGTTAGAGAGTTATTCCACTTAATGATCAGCAGTTTTGAACAATCGGAATTTGGTACGGGTGTATTGCAGGAATCACAGTCTAGAACTATGGAAGCTGTGTATCATAGATTCAGTGATTGATCTAACACAGTACTGTCCATTCTGTCTTTTTCATTCACGTTTCATTCATCACCTTCATCTTTTCATGGGTCATTCATTCAAGTCTTTTCATTCACCTTTAAAGCAATTTTCCACTTATCACAACGATCAGAAAGCAGCGCGTCAATAACTACAGCCATACTGGTCCTACGACCTATTTGTTACTTTTCTACATTGGGGTGCAAAGTACAGAATGCTTACTTACAATATCATCAGCTCCGATTCATAGCGCACCAGGGCATTCTTTTCCTGTACCAGTTTGAACCACTCTTGCATCAGCTTAGGGTCATCCTTCTTCCCCATGCCTGCCAAGAGAAATGTTGGAGTCAGCTCTCAGACACACGCTCCGCTATTTTCACAAGCTCAACAGTCAGGCAGGGACAAAAATGGAGGGGGGCAAAATGTGCAAAGAAAGCTGAGCGAGATGCTGCCAGAGCGCTCCCATCAGGTCTATTTGTTAGTTTGCCTCTAACACACATAAAGTTAAAACAAAAAACAAACAAACCCCAAACTCTCCCCTGGATCTATGCATTCATCTAGATTCTTCCCTAGATAGTAATGCCTCCCACCCCCAGAATAAATAGTCAAAATGGCAATGCTTTGTTCAGTACTGTGTTGTATTTCTTAATTTGTGTAATTTCAGACCTTCAAGTAGCCTAGCTTTGAATGATGGATATTGGGTGATCTGGATATTCATGTGCATGTGAATCTCTCACCCATTCTCATAACTCAGAAGACAACCACACCTAACTACAGAGTGATTAATAGACAGATCACTGTACAAACTCAGCACACTTCCTTGTGTCACAGCTAATTTAAAATATCATTGTTGACATGACCTGTACATGACTAAAAGCAATCACTTCCTGACTTCTATCACAATAATTTCTAGATGTATTTTCTAGTTAGTAGATCCAACAACAATCTCTGAGGGCAGATTAAATGGCACGTTATGTTTGTGCAAAATAGTTGTATCCACAACCAATGAATAATATACAATAGCAGCTCATCACAGACAATACCAATTCAAATACAAACACAAACAATGTGATTCTAAGGCGATTCTGATTATGAAAGACTTGCCTCTATTAGCTAAATTGACCTAGAAACATTTACAGAATTGGCAAATGGAGAGACCATCAACAAAAGTTTCCCAAACTCTCATATATCCAAAAGACAAGCCTTTTCTCTTAATGTGACTCTACCCCAACTTTCCTGAACTGATACAAACCACTTGTTTTGGAACTGCCATGTTTAAAATTCACAGACAGTAAGATGAAAATATCATCAACAACTATGTCAAATAGTGTTTTGCATATTTAAAAATGCAGGGCCTTCCACAGCTAACAGTTACATTTAAAGGCCAAGAAGAAATAGTGGAACTGAAATAACCAACTAACAAGGTAGATCCTAACCAAAGAATGTTTCCCCAGAATTTCATCAATACAGTGTAAAATTGCTGAAGTCATAATCAATTTCGATTCTTTGCGCAGTTTTCTAATTCCATCTGAATGGAACAGTTTTTCACTGTTTGGTTATATTATTAGGTCACATTATGCAGCAGCTGGTTTATGTAACAAAACATATTTCTTGCATCTGTTGAGAAAACACAATAGTCCCTGAAACTAGACCCTGCTTCAGGAATCTCACTGTTGCTTGAACCTCATCGTTGAACTCAAGAAGTATGATCTACTGGCTCTTGGTAGAGTTCTTACTTCCAGTGGCCTGGCATCCTGTGATTTTTTCCTCCTTCAAACCACTAAAACATCTATAGAATTAGGAGAACAGAAACCACACGAACCCTTCATCCTAAATGCATTACGGTTTTCATGTTGTAAGTGGCAATACCCGTCCACTGCTCAGTCCAAGCATGCTTTTCTGAGCATCTCTGCACAAGTGCCCTTATAGCCATGATGAAAGGAGAGAGAGAAAGATAAGCTTATGTACATGCAAATGGCCAGAATGGTGGAGCCATGAAAAGCGTTGGAAATCCTCCCCACTCTTTCCACTGAGAGGGTACGTCAAAGGAAAATTCCTAAACAAAATAGCCAAATGTGTGTTATTTACCGACCTATAGAAACTTTTATTTGACTTATTTTGTCAAAGCCAATGAGCAGAAGGAGGAGGTGGAGGTGGGGAAGAGGCACGTACAGTGGATGAAATCCCACCATGAAAAGCAGATACAGTGATTAGCATAAGTTACACACAACAGTCACATTCCACCCTTTTGCCCCCATGCCTTGGGAAATGGAAACTCTACAATGGATATTGGGTCCACATGAGATAAAGTTGAGAAAATGCTTAGCAAGGTATGAACTCCAGGAAATCAAATCAGATCACACAAGTTCAGGAGGTTGACCATTCAAATGTCAGGGAAATCAAGGAAAATCAGTTGCAAAAAAACAAACCAAACCAAACTACAGTATTTCTTTCCCCCGTTAATTTTATAAGGATTTTGGTTTCTCCTCTAGTTTCCAAGAACCTCTTTGGGATATCTAGCATGCCAAACAGGAACTTTGCTGTGTTGCACTATTACCACTCCAAAGAAAGAGCTTCAGTAGCCTGGAGCATTATAGTTAGCCTCACAGTTCCCATCTAAAAAAGGAATATTGTAATTTTACAATATTATCAGGGACATTTTGCAATACGTTTGATAGTGAAGGTATCACTGAGTAAGAAGGAAAGAAAGGAGAAGCTTTATGGGTCCCTATAGAAATTCAACTGCAGTTTGGAACGTGGATGGAGGGAATGCAAGAACTTACGTTACCTTCATGGGCACAGCAAGGACAGAAGGAGAGAGGTCTACGGCGTGGTGTCCCGGCATTGGGCTCAACTTCAATAGGACCAAAAATGGGAGAGGAAGAAAGGACGGGAAGAGGATATCGGAAGTGGAGAGAAAAAGGAGGAGAAACAGGGTGAAAATAAACAGACAAGCAAAAGGACACACAAAAAAAAGCATAAGTGAGAAAGAAAGGAAGCAACCAACTGGAAGAAAATAGGAAAGAAAAAAATAATACAAAAAAAAATGGAGACACGGAAACAACAGTCTACAAATGAAACATCCCTTGTCAACACTGATGGAAGAGAACAGACTGGGGCTGTTGGAAACGAAAACAGCAAGAGCCACAAACATTACCAGGGTGAAGAAAAATTGCCAAGATTTGACATGTTTTGTGCATGTAGATTTTTCACGCAATATTACACTTTATGGATACAAAGAGAAGGTAATACTAAGAGGTTGCCGAGCAATATTAAGTTTCTAAGAAAGCAGGACTACAAAATATGTTTGAAAGGCCCATTTTACTTCGTGTTGGGATGAGGTTCCCCCACAAAAATGGGTCAATGACAGAAAATGTTTAATGTTTAGAAAACAATGGCATATAAAGAAGGGTCAACTACCCAACATCTTCTAAAGCAGATTGACCAAGATTATATATTCCTTATGTTAAATATTTTGGGGTCAGAGACAAAAACTTCTCCTTCTGCCCAAAATATCTATAATCACAGAAAAGAATCTTTGGCTACAAATTGTTATTGAATAATATGCTTAGACTGGGCCTGCCTTAGCTTCATCCATACATTTTCTCTTAGTACATATACACTTGAACCTTTCTAACTTCCATATTATTATAAATTGAACAAAGTTTATTACTAAGCACAAATATTTCCCGTTTGAATTTCACGTGAAACATAAGTAAGACCCCAAACAGAACTCTATCGGCAGCTTTTGTTTTAGACTTTAGGGCTTCGAACAGAAAGAGAAGGCAGAAAACTATGGAATATACTCCATTGATCTGTAATGTATTTGTAAAGGAAAAATCTGCATGGAACCAGGACCAGTAAACAAACGTTCTTTCTGAGAGAAGCACAGAATTCCTCCCTCTGAAGAGACAGGAGGAGGCATATTTCTCATTGTTCAATATTCTGAATCAACTTTAGATCCCAGCTGTTGTTTTAGACAAATCCAATCATTTCCTATCTAGCTATGTTGACTAGAAAGGTTCACCCAACATCATGAAGAATTCAAGATACACTCTAAATCAGGGGTGCCAAACTCACATTGTCACAGCAGAGTCACATGATGTATCGGGAATTTCTCCCCCCCTTCGCTAAACCGGGTGTGGGAGTGGCCAGTGTGTGACACATCCGGCCCACAGGCTGCAAGTTTGACTTTTCCAGAATGGATTATCTAGTATCAGTGGTGTTTACTAGGCACGGAGGCCCAGAACAATAATGCATGCTGAAAAGGAAAAACTCTGTGGGAGGACCCAGAGGAGCAACTACATGAGTTTATATGTAAAGAGTCAAAGTCTTATAGAAAGATTTGTGACGTAAGGATTACAGCAGATGAACTGTGGTGAAACTACTGTGAAATGAGGAAGAACCATCACATTCCTTTGAAAGCATTCAGTAGAAGCCAAAGTTACATGTACTCAAAATGGAAGTGCAAGAGTCATGTTTTCCATTTTGAAGAACTACACAATTTGGGAAGTTCTCTTAGAAGGGACCATCACAGAACTAGAACAGAAACACACAGGACGGTTCAAAATGAAAGAAACACCAGTTTGCAAACAGGGTGGAGATAAACCAATTTTCATAGACAGAAGAAACATTTATATTGAGTAGGGAAAAGTTTAATCAGAGGAAAGGAGGGTACAGTACGGTAGCTACCTAAATATTTTACAAAGTACATATTTTCTGAACTTAACCATATTTGAAGAAATTCCACTGCTGGTTATCTACCACATACCTAGAGATATATAATCATAAAATAACTAGCTCAAATGTTCCCAATGTGGTTTTTTTGTTGTTGTTTGAGGAAATCAGACATGGAGATGCATATCGACAAGAACAATCTATGGGTCATTTAAATAACAAAATAAATCTGGAAGAATAAGTTTTAATTCTGAATTCTCTCTCAAGATCCAGGATTGGGTATCTATTTCAAGCTATTGGAATTTTACAGCTCTGATTGACCAGGTTTGCATCAACAAAGCGGCATAGGAATTTTCTTTTGAGCTTTCACAGCCTCTAGATTGAAAGGTAGCAACAATAACAAAGGAAGTGTTTACAACAATAACATTCACTGAATGTTGTGACTATTTCTGAACCATGACTATTTCTGAACTAGCAACAGTCATCTGTGCCTGAGGACATCATACTTAAGACTACTGAAAAGCGTTTCCTATCTAACCTAATCCTTAAAAAGTATACATAAAATGCAACATCTAGGTTGCTAACTGGTACACGTTATACAATACATATCAAAGATCTACATGGTCTGTCAAGTGTTAATTTTAATTAAAATTATAAAACCTTGTAGCCTATCCCTTGGATGATTTGTCAAATAATTAAATTTTGCAGAAAAAGCCTTGTTGAGGTCACCAGAGACCCAGACAACTCCTTATCCAATCCAACACCGAAGACTCCCACAACCCCAAAAACCTTTCTATCAAATACTGCACAATAAGGTAGACTTCCCTATACTCACATCTTTCAGATATGTCAGGCTGCAATTCCACCATCTCCTACGAACTATGGTCCAATTATAATAGATTTTTTTAGTAGAAGACACCTGGAATAGTGCAGGGCAAGGAATGCTAAAGCAAAGCATTAAATAGGTGAATTACATAACATTCATCTCCACTCTTTTGCTGATCAACCAGTGCAGAGCTACACCTTGTACATCTCACAGGCTTGCAAAGTTCAACGCTCAATACAGAACTGAAGAATTAATTCTCTCATGTTTGTTTGTTTGTTTAAATGAGATTGAAACCCATTAGACTCTAATAAAATTGAAAGAGCTTACAAAACAAAACACAGCACAAAACACAAAATATACTTGTAATGAAAACAGTAAACTTCAAAATCTATTTTTCCAAATTGAAGACTAACATTAAAATTCACTTGGTGCATCACTGGTGGTTAAAATTAATCCCTAACAATCTTTTGGAAGGCCATGATGGAGGACTGCCTTGTTTCAATGGGTGCTGTTAAAAGAATGCCAACCGCTGGGCCTTCTCCACTGTGTCTCCGAGTAGATGGGACCATTAGCAAGTGCTTCCTAATTTTTTGAACAGGGCAAGCAGAAAAAAGGCAATCTCTACAATACCCAGGCCTTGGGCCAGTACAGGTCTTCGCAGCCAGCATCTTCTACTGCATCCAAAAACCTACCACTGATCAGGGCAGCTTCTGCAGCAGAGGTTTTATGAAATTCACTTCCAAACATCTTGATTTGTAACAACAGGTTAAAAAATAAGTGGTCAAATTAAGCCAAAAGATACCTCTTTGAATAGAGTAAGGAATAAAAAAATCAAAAAAAAAAAATCAAAGGTAAAGTTCAAAGGGCAAGACAGAAAGAAAAAAAATAGGAAAGAAAGAAAAAAGATATACAGAAGTAGATTTACAGCAGGTATAAATACAATTATAAAATTACCTCTCTCCAAAGTTGCATTATGTCTCTTTTCTTGCTATGATCTATCCTATCTAATTATCAAAACCATAAATCGTAAAGTTCATTTTTCTGTTTATGCAAAATGTCTGTAACAGGTTTCGAGTTGGCAATAAATATTTTTTCTCTAATCAGAAAAAAATAACTTGGCAATCTCAGCAAGTTCTATCATATTTTAAAGCTGACAGCCACAATAGCTTTTTGGACACAGTTTGGAATTTTATCTGTTTCATATTCTCAATATGGCATGTCTAACATGAAGGTTTTTTAAAATTCACATTAATCTTGACTCTATCATACCACAAATATCCATGCCACCCAAATCTCAGGTCATGTCCTTCTAACATTAAGAGCTTTTTATTTCCCAGCAGCACTCAGTCTTTTATTCAAACCAAACAGCAAGCTACAAAATACAATTTCAAGTCAGGTAAAACTAATTTTCCTTTTTCCTTTGGATCTTGTAACACCTTATGTTTAAATTGTGATCCCCCCCCCCCCGTCACATAAACTTAGATATATCCCTTTGCCATTGCTTAAGTGTCAATACAAGAATTATCCAAAATAAAAACATCAATGAAACATCGGACTTCTAGGGCAGAAATGGTGAACTGAAGATGACTTCACTAAAAGTGAAGCTGATGACCTTGGCAGAATGAAGATGATTCGGCGAGTAGGCTCTTTGTAATACCTCTCTGGATAAGGAGAGATCACCCACAAGTGCTGCAGATAGCACTTTTCACGAGGAGATTGTAAGACAGCTGTCTCTGTCAAGTTTAGATGAACAGCTCTCGTGGTCCAACTGCTGTTGCATATTTAAGGACCCTTGGTTCATATATTTCCTTTTCTAATTAATTTCAGAAATTAGACTTCAGTCAAACAGTGTTGAATTAGAGCAAGGTCCTCTAGTGAGATTTACCACAAGTAAGCTAAAACTGATGATAAATTATCTTAGAGCCTTCACATGCCTTCCCTTAACATTTAAACAACTTTCCCCAACACAGCACTTTGCAAATATATTGGGGCACAGCTCCCAGAATTCCTCACTTCTGACCGAGTTGTTCAGATGAAGTCACATTCTGTGGGTTTCTTTTGGAGGGAAACACTAACACCTCAGATTTTCACAATAGTAACTGAAGACTCTCTTCATTAGACATTAATTAAGGCTGCTAAATTTATTGTAGATATCTTAATTGGATATTTTAATTGGAAATCCCTGTTCCAGTTCCAAATCGATTTGCGAGCATTCTGGCAGCCCCGTGACAAAGTAATTGCATCAACATCAGTCACACAACATGAACTACAACTAGAAAGCCACAACTTTCCTTTTCTGCACTTAACACAGCACTGCATTTAAAGCAATGTTTCTCAACAATGGCAAATTT